GGGGCAAGCCGCCGGAGCCGTCCCTGGGCGGCGGGGTCCCGTGGGAGGTGCCATGGTGGGGCTGAGTGGTTGTGGTGCCGGGGGACGGCTGGTTCCCGCGGCTTGGCACCCCCTGTGATGTCCACGGGGGGTTTCCCGGGGAAGCCTGGAATGGGTTACCTGCCCTGCGGCAGCACGCCGCGTCCTGGCGTTGCATGGAACGGGGTCCTGCTGCCGTCACAGATAAATCCCCAAAACAGGAAAGCGGTGGCCGGCAAGGTGGCTGGCGAGGAGTAAGGTGCGCTTGGGGGCAGCCGGGAAGAAAGCCTGAAGGTGGCTGTCCCCAGGTGGATGGTTTAGGCCGAGCCGGGCTGGAGCGCGCCGTGTTCGCTGGGAACGGGGAGCGCGGAGGAAAGGTACCCGCCGGCATCGGGGAGCTCTCTGTTATAGCAGTGACAACAGCAATAAGGCCTTGTGCGGGTTTCCCAGTATTAACTATCTAATCTGCCCAAATCCAAGCCAGCCGTGAGGGCATATAAATAACAATAATACCCGTCCCATGCTAGGAATGGGAAAAACCCAAGCCAGGATAGTTGGTGGCTCTCTAAAGGTCTGCAAGGTAGCCGTGGCAGAGGGCTTTTACCTTGCCCAGCAGGGTTTCGGGGCAGCCCCATGTTTAGGGGCAGCCCCAGGTGCCCACGGGCTTTGGGGACACAGGAGCCCCCCGCCAGCGCAGCCCCGCGGGAGCGGGGTCCTCGGAGGGGCCGGACAGTGGCACCGCTGCCACCATCCCCGGAGCCTGACCTCGCACTCCTCGGGAGAGTTAATCTTCATCAAGTCTCGGAGTCTTCAGCGGTTTTATCTAGAGACCCAAAATCTCGGTCACCAGCCTATCTGAAAATCTCAGCATTGGTTATTGTTTCTCAAACAATAAAAGTCTTGTCCTTGGGATTGCAGGGAAAAGCTTGAAAATCAGCTTTTAACCTCCCATACGTTTCAAAGACAACTTCGTGACTCTGGGTATCGTGATTCATGGGTTACAAGCATCCTCAGTTGGGTATAGCACGATTTGGGGTTTAAAATGTTTTTTTTTTTTTTCCTTACTGAAAGCTTCACCGAACCCAAAAGAGAGTGAAGATCGAGCAGGAACTCTGATTTTCTTTCCAATAGGAGCCGCCTGTGCTCCTCGTCTATCTTTTAAGATCGTGCTCAGAAGAAAGGGCTTTATTTTATCTCCCCTCCCATTGTTTAACCAGCGCTGCAGGATCTCGGACCGGCAGCGGCTGAAGCACACTCTGCACGAGGCCGGGACCGCGGGGAAGAATGTGTGTGACAGTGCCCCGGTTGAGTAATGTTTACCCTGTTCACGGCAGGGACGTCCACTCGGACCGGCAAATATCCACCTGCCAGAGGACATTCTTTTATTATCAGGGATAAAAGGGGTTTGCTGGGAAATGATCAGGAACCAGACATCGCGGGGAGATTCCTATCTGCGGGACGTGTTTAACCAGCTGATGGGGAAAATTCGGAGGCGATTAAAGCGTGACTTTGCTGTGGTTTTGGTGGAGGGTGCAGGTAGCCGTCTGTGCTTCGGCAGATGCTTTTGGAGCTCGTGGAAAGCTCCAGGATTCCAGTTATCTTTTCTTTCCTTTTCCTTGATTCAGAGACTTTTAGGGTGGTCCTTAGAGCATCCTTCACCGAGCCAGCCTGCATCACTTCTTCCCCTCAGGCACCTGGGAGAGGGAGATCCCGAAATCCCAGGAGGAAGATCCTTTACCTGGGCAGGTTTTGTAGCTGGGGGTGTCCGTGCTGTGCCGGGACAGCCCAGAAGCCGCCAGCAGCCTCCGTTGATGGTCGTTTTGGGGACCTCTCCCCAGTGGTCCTGCGCAGTGGCTGGGGATCACGGGCAGACGATGCTCTTGGTGGTCTCCATTGGGAGGGTGGGCTTTGCCGCCGTCGTTTTCTTTCCCAGGAGAGCTGTCTGTCCATCCGTCCATCCATCCACCGCTTCGATCCCCGAGCAGTTCAGTGAACCCAGCCGGGAGCACGGTGCCGAACTCCTCGTAATAAATGGCTTTTTGCCGTAGTTGTCAAGGCAGCCTCGTAAAAGACGCTTTTGTTTCCTATGGGTTTTCCTCGGTTAATTATTTGTGATCTGTAGATGCCTTTCCATGACACATGGCTGATCATATGGTTATCAGTGCAGGGTGTTTTAGCCAAATTAAATATATTTATATAGAAGATCTGTGCTCGAGCCAGATTTCCCTCCTCGGCGGTGGTGGGCTGTGGTCCGATTTGGAGGTTTGTGTGTGTCTTGTCCCTCCGTCTTCCTGCAGTAATCTGTTAATCATACACTTGTCAAGAGGGGTCGAGAGGGAAATCGGATGCAGAAAGGCCCGAGGAACACGCGAGAGCCGTGGCTGTTCGGGGCCAGGCAGCATTGGGGTGGCGGGGGGCTGCGAGGAGCCGGGCGACCCTCGCAGATGGAAGAGTTGGAGGACGCGGAGTCGCTGCTCAGGACGCGCAGGCCGGTGTCTGAGAGCCGCGGGGACGCTGCAGGAATTGGCACGATGGGTGCAAACTGTGCAAATCAAAGCGCGAGGGGTGCAGATGGGTGTCCAGGCTGTTGGCGCGGGTTGGGCTCCCATGGGAGCAGCTCTTTCCGCCCCTCAGCATCCCTCACCATAAACTCTGTGCCACAATTTCGGAAGGTGGGCTTTTGGGGAGACGCTGGGAAGCGGTACTGGAGGAAGGGGCACGTTGTCCGGTGCTGTCCCTGCGGTTTATCATTCACGGGTGTCATTTAGGAGCTTTGCACCTCTGTTTGCACCCTCGTGCCGCGCACCCCGAGGGAGCCAGGGAAGGAGGGGGGGGTGTTCCCTTTGCAGGGCCACTTTCAGAGGGGGTTGGCATGGTCAGGGCACCCTCACCGGGGTTCCCATGGGCGATGCCAACCCCTGGCGGTGTTTTGCAGGGGTCCGGTACAGCCAGGCGGCGAGCGGCGAGGCGGCATCCTCCGGGGCCATCAGCCACCACAGCGGCGGTGCCATGGTCACCACCAGCCAGGCGGTCCTGCCGCAGGGCTCCCCGGCC